TCTGCCATACTATTACAAATAGGAAACTATTCAATACTTCTTGAAGGATTCTTGGTCACTTTCCATTACTGACTTTTGTTGTTCTGTTTCTTTGCTTTTTTTGAAGCATTAAGTGGGGAATGTATGTTAGGATCAGGTGAGCATATCCCATATGCTCCTTTTCCTGTGTTTACAGGAGATGAGCATTGATAAGTCACTCCAGTAACTCTCACCCCTTCCCCAGTGAACTGTCTGTCTGTTCTCCCCTCAGTTCCCATAAAATTGTTTCTTTTCTTTTTTTCCTAATCCTTTCATTGCTCAATGGAAGATAGAACTAGTTTCCTTAGCAAAACCATATTTATCTCTTGTATTTTGGCATGTAAAACACTACAAGAGATGCCATATTTTCAGACTTATAACCTGCAACTTTTGAAACTCACAATGCCTTAACTAAGTGTATAGATGACTCTGAGTTGGATACATAAAAAATACCAAGAAAAGGGTAGTAGGCACTGGTGATCACAGCTAAGGTGTCTGGCATGTGAAAGAGATTTTTGAGTAAACAGCTCTTCAGAAAATGAGACTTCTGTACTACACCAATTGCTAAGACAGTGGGAAGTAAGAGGAGGTTGCCTGGCTGTTTATTTCTGTGTTAGGTAATCTGCAGGTTATATACCTGAAAATATGGTAATTTAGCCATATAGAAATTAAGATTTGTTTCAGAGTCTGGTTCTGCTGCGTTCTATATTTGATGAATGACCTCAGTACTGTCTTCTCAAAATGTAATCGTAGTATCAGTGAAGAGGTGCAGTGGGGTTACCGGATTTATAATTTCCATCACTGGCTTTAAAATTGCCTAATCTATTAATATCTTTCTGTATTTTATACTTGAGTTTCCATTATTCTAGATGATGACAACAATCTCTTAAGTGCTTTGGTAACAGCAGGTTTCCAGTCTATAAAATCAATTTTTCAGTTTATGTTGGCATTTTTAATGTGTCCTAAACTTATCCCAGCTTTTCCCTCCATAGAGAAAATAATTTTTCTTTAGCACCTCACAAATACACTTACATGAGTGTGTGTGTGTATATATATATATATATATATATGTATATATATAAATGGTATCATACCATAAGAACACTTCCTGTTTACAGATGACCTTCAGGGCATAAAAACTTAAATACTGTTGAAAACCTTTTCCAAAGCACTTTGTAAGTTTTCAAGGTGACAGATGTTGAAGTTGTTGGCTTCCTGTACTATGGTTGTCCTAATACAGTTAAAAAACATGCCCATTCTAGAAGACACTATGGGATGATAATAGGAAAGTGATTCTTGTAACTCAGGAATCTCAGCAACGCTGAAGACTTCAGGTATCCTTATTGCAGAGAACTGAGTGTAAGAAACTATCCCAAGAAAGATGGCAGGATTAACCTGTAGTTTGTAAAGCAGTTTGGGATCTTCCTGGATTAAAAAAAACAGCAAGTGCTTTTTGGTTTATCATTTCTTTTCTTGTTCTAGTTTAAATGCTATGAATTGGCAATGAAACTAATGACTGAAACAGGTATGTCAGTGAGAAAAATCGAGCAGGTCATAGTATATAGTGGGTAGAAGCATCTCCAAGATGTTTAAACATTTTGTCGTAGCAGATTGCTTTATTATTTACTTGAGATAAAAAGGACCATATATAGCTCTAATGTTATTATAACTAAAGAAGTCTGGAATCCATTACACATGCTGCTGGCTGCTCTGCAGAAGGCTTGCAGTGTTGTGCAAGGTCAGGAAGGAAAATCATTAATCTCAAAAACATTGAGCCCCATTTAGAATGATGTTGCTTCAACGTGTAGTGTATGGTTTTTGTGGCCCAACTAATGTTGATTTCTTCTTTAGTATGGAAACCATCTGAGGGCTGTCCAAAGGCCTGTGTGGTCTGAAGGTCCTGGTGGATGTACCTTCTGCAACCCAAACACCGTCACAGACTGCAAGTGAATGAGCTTAAACAGTTGTGGCTTGCCTCACGAAGGTTGCTCCAGGTCATGGCTGAGGTGCATGAGCTGGGCCCTTCCACGCTCACTGGTCCATGTAGGAATCTGCAGTCTGGTTAGCCTGAGCAAGCTTTTAACAGCTGGAGATCAAACTGCAACAAGCAGCAGGCAAATCGTTACTACTGCTCAACAAAGTACAAGCCAGGGAGGCGATAAAATGAAATACTGTAAGTTGAGGAATCAAAATCCCGACTACTGAAAAAAGTGTTCTCACAACCATGGGAATATTGTTGATTAATAATGACTAAAAAAGGTCAGATTAGCAAGGAGGATCACTTAAAAGGAAGTGTGGGCCAGGGCAGCCTGGCAGAGTTTCTCCAGATTCTCCGTGGCTGTGCTGTGTTCCAGATGTGAGAGGGGAACAGATGAACGTGATCTCTCTGCCTGGTGATGATAAACTCCTTCCCACCTCCATCAAGGATGCAAATCACAGGGAATAATGTCTTGAAGTCTAACTTTTGCCTCTCTGTTCCCTGTCTTTCTGCATAACAGACGTAGAGGCAATGTCTGCTCTGTATGTGATCATATATGTTATGCCACATGACTCACGGTTTCGGAAACATGCTGGTTGTCCAGAATCAGGAAAAGTATCAGCCCAGCAGGGTAAACCCCTGCTTATTTCCTTTATGCAGTTGGAAAGAGTTAGACAAAGGCAAGTCTATTTTACTTCACCTGATTAGATGTAGTCTGCTTTTGCTATGAATTCCTCTGAGTCACATTCTCTTTCAGACAACAAATAGGATAGTTTTTAGCGTGCTGCTATTCACCTGCTACTCGACACCTCTTCAAGTGACTACCAAAGCACTTATAAGTGAAGAGAGAAAAAAGCCTGTAAAAATATTGGCAGAGTTTAGAAGTCAACAAGTAACTGAGCATGTCCACAGCAACTGTGCAAAAAACACAGGAAATAAATACTTTGCTGGTGGCTAAAAAGGCTACATGAAAGAACTCCCTTTTATACCAAATTTTGAAGCAGGATACAGACTACCACTGGAGCGAAATATCCACATTCAGTAGGTTCTCTGCTTCAATCACTTCTAAGAGCTGCACGTGCAGTCTTGCCTGTGTCTCCTAGCTTGGGCCATTGGCACTGAAGTGGGTCAGCTGTACAGTGTGAATACGGCCATAGTCGACCAAAACCAGTAAGCACTGGGGTGGTGGGAGGGTTTTGTGCAGAGGCTCCTCTTGATACAAGATGTTTGCAGTAACAAGGCAAATGAATTCTTCCTCCTTCCATTTGAAGTGAAGTATTTTGAAAATAAGAAAGATCTCAAATTTGCGTTTGCAAACTCACTACATTAAACAGGAATACAATGATACTATTTTAAAGATGCAAAATTTTGTACTATAGGGCAAAACATAGTTTTTATTTACAGCCCCTACCTAGATTTTTGTTTATACTCAGACTAACCGGAGTACAAATAGTTATTTTTTTAAA